TTTTTAAATGGTGGAATTTCAACCAATTGTTTTTGGTGTAGTGACCATGTATTCATTTTCCTTTGCTGTCTCCTGTACTAATCAATACTTTGCCAATAGAATCCCTCAATATTTCAGCTGGAGTCTTGTACTGTTTCCTAATTTCAGCGTGAGATAGACTGAGTGCTTTCTTCCTTTTGGGTTGTCTGCTCTGGGTGTTTGCACATTTCATTATAATACTCTGTTATTTGAAACTTTCTGTTCGGCTCTTTTACTTCATCATTTCTTCCATTTGCTTTAGCATTAAAGAGAACATTTCAGAGTCTCGTCTGACATCGACTTTGGTTTTTAGGGTTTGTTTGTTTGTTTCTGTCCTGTGTTTTTAATCAACTTTTGCTTTTTTCACGTATGATGCTCTTAATATCATCCTGCAGCTCCTCTGGTTTTCAGTCAGTGGTGGTCAATGCATAATACATGTTCGTGAAATGGCCCCTAACTTCAGGAGTGACATATTCAAGATCCTATATGGTCCCTTGTTGGCTTGTTTTATTTTTGTTCACGTTCAACTTGAACTTGTGTATAAGTAATTGATGTTCTAGTCTATAATCAGCTCCTGGCCTTGTTTTGGCTGCTGTTTTTACAATGTCTCTGCCTATAGATATAAGCAGTTTGATTTCTGTGTTTTCCACTTGGTGAAGTCCATGTATGTAGCCGCTGTTTGGGTTGTTGAAAGGAGGTATTTTCAGTGAATAAGTTGCTGGTCTTACAACATTCTGCCACGTGATAGCTGTCTTTGTTTCCATCACCCTGGCCATATTTCCAACCACTGGTCCTTCCATTTTGTTTCCAACTTTTGCATTTCAATCACCAGTAATTATCCATGCATATTGATTGTATGTTTATTGGAGGCACCGCTGGGATAAAGGCATGAAGCAGTTGGCTTATAAACTTTCAAAGGTAGGGGGAAAAAACTCACAGGATTATAGGGTTAAGGTATAGGTGTTCATTGCAATTGTGAAGCTAAGAATTATATACAGGTGCCAGGTTGGCAAGGGGTGGATTGAGTTAGTTAATTGTGCCAGCCTGGCCGATAATCACATGTGGTGCTGGTTGAAAGGCGGAGGGATAAATGGGTGGTGAAGCCTCGCCTTTCTAGTTCTCGGGTCTCTTGTTTGGTGATGGTTGCATCGGGTGCAGCTGCCTTAGCAGTTCCCTGCTTCAGCTTGCAAGATGGATTTCCTACAAGACATCCCCAAGGAGAAGCTGCATGGATCTATCCCGATGCAGCCCTGGGTGCTGGAGCAGCCGTGTGGAGACCCCTGCTAGTGCTGAGATGCTTGTTCGTTCACTGACTCAGCTTTCCTCCTGCAGTCGGCATTATTGCCTCTGTTTTGTGAGGTGGAGGACTTTGTGGACTGGTGTTGGGTTAATGGGTTAATGTTGGACTTGTGGGCTTGGGCAGCATTGGGTTGGGATGTTTTCGTGATGCACATTTTCTTTGCATAAAACTCTCTCTTATACGTGAGTTGCTGTGGATTTGTTTCTCCAAAGTACCTAGACTAATACAATGTTTGATCAATTTCTGGCTAAATAAATTAACAACATTCTTCAATTTCTTTATCACTGCCTTTATTTTTTGGTAAATAAATGTGAATAATAGTTACATTAGCTGATCTTCCTTGTAGACTTAGGGTTGTTACCCTATCACATTGTACTTGAAGATCCATTTTGAATTGTTCTTGTTGATGATGAATGTGACACCATTCCTCTTAATTGGTCATTTCTGACATAGTAAACATCTGATTGTCTGATTCAAAGTGGATAATACCTGTCCATTTCAGTTCACTAATTCCTAGGATATTAATGCACTTCATTTTTTTTCTAATTTCCAGTTTTCCTAGATCTCTATTTTGTACATTTCACATTCAGATTATTATTGGATGTCTGCAGCTGTTCCTTCTCGTTGTGAGCTGTGCCCCATCACCAGGTGAAGGTCACAAAAGCTTTGCTCCATCCATGTCACTAGGTCAACTCTACTTTGAGGGGGCAGCTCTTCCTCAGTCGTATTTGAGTGCCTTCATGAGATACTCATTTTCAGGCACCATTTTTCACTTCTGTTTGAATGGTTTTCAGTGGCTAATCATTCAGAATTGGTTAGCTTTTCCCTCCTACTCTGTTTATAGTCTGAAAGCTATACTGAAGCCTGTCTTCCAGCTGACTCATCTAGTACTTGAAAAATAGGTGCCATAGCTTTCAGCAACACAATACATACAAGCCACTACAAGATGAGAAAGAGACAACTGGGTGGGTGTGAGAGGGAGGAGATATTAGTTCCCAAGCCTATAATCCTGCTTTCATCAAACACTCTTGCATTGAACTCAAATTTCCTCTAGTTGACATCCATCTTTCTAAAGTCCAGCAGTTCTCAGCCTGTGCAGCATGACCCCTTTGGGGGTCTAAGGACCCTTTCACAGGGGTCACCCGATTCATAAAAGTAGCAAAATGACAGTAATGAGGTAGCAACGAAAATAAGTTTATGGTTGAGGGGGTCCCCACAACATGAGAAACTGTACAAAAGGGTCACGGCATCAGGAAGCTTGAGAATCACTGCATTTAAACCAAGAAGGACCGTCCTTGCTTCTAGTCGGGGAAGAAACACACGGAAACATTTCCTATCAATTTGTTCCACTTTCTTTCATCCCTGACAGTTTGCTGAAAATATTGAGAAAGAACCTTGAGTTTGGTCAAATTTTTTTCTTAAGACAAGGTGGGGTCAGAGGGAGTGTAGAAAGCAGAGGAAGACCCATCACCCAGATGCAGGTTTGTTTTTTATAATCATCATTATAAAATGAAAAATGACTAGAAGAAGAACATTTCAATTTTGGAAATGACGATCAAGCCCTCTCTCCCCACACCACTGAGGACAATTGCATTAAGATTAATGGGACTAATAAGGCTGACCAGATGCTTTGTTTTCTTCCCCTGACAATTTTTAGTGCTGGGGAAATGGCATAGAAGAAATGACTGCATTTCTTATTATAATTATTTTAGTTTTACAAAGTTGAAGAAGAATAGAGAACCCCGGGAGAGGAAGAGAGGAAGGGAAGAACAGAAGCAGGAAGGGAAGGAAGAGGGGTGGAAGAAAGGAAGGAAGGGGCATTCATCCGGTGTGTTCATCCAGTCATTAAATGAAAGGCAGACACATGAACTTTGTGACTTATATTGTGTCATACACCGTGTGCAAACGTGGATCTCCAAGAAAAAAGAACAGAAGAGAGATATGAAGAAAATATGATTGGCATTCTTTCCACATATCACCAAATTCCATCCACTGATGAATAGGTAGTACTCAAACTCCCGCTCATTTGACTAGACCCAAACTTCTCTGTTTTTCTATCTAGTCAAACAGGGCACCAAGAGAAAATACTCGTTACCTCCTTGATGAGTAGTTTCCAAATCGGTGTGATTTCAACATCAATAGTATTAGGCCCACAAATTAACCTCCTATGGGGAGAAATCACAGATCACTTAGTGACTAACAGTAAAAAGGAAACTTCATCTTCTCACCTATTAAAAAGAAAAAATCCAAACTATGTTCTTTTTTTTTTTTCATTTATGGGGTGATCATAAGCCTCCCTGTGTAACATTCCCATCTTTCAAAAAATAAGTGGAAGCACCAGGTATAAAAACAAGAAACATTATCAGAATGTTTCCATTGAACTATACTTTCCTCCTGGTCTAAATATTTCCTTGATGCTCATAAAAACCGTCAACAACTTTGGTCCAATTCCACTGTGTCTCAGTTGCCACAAATAGGGGACTATCTCCATAGTGGCTAACAACAATGCTAATCAAGGTATCAGCTAACAACAATAGCAATCGGGTATTCAATGTTAACCATTGGCTCATTCAGGAAGGCTGGCAGTTTCTCATCTCTCGTTCCTCAACCCTGGCTCCGTGGATCTTGGATGGAGGGATCATGAAGGGAGAATCATTTTGCTGATGAGCAAATAAAAAGGGGTTTCAAAAGCTTCCTGGAAATTTTCCATTATCTTTCAATTCCATTTTTCCATGAATTTTTTTACTCTATTTCCTTTACTACCTGTATTTTGATAATCTAGGAATCTGAACATTTTATTAATATGTATAAAAATTCTCTAAAATACAGAATGAGATAATTTACTCTAATTATAGAGATTCCGGAATCTTGTTTCTTTGCTAATGTCACTTTATGAGTTATTTTGCTTTTGAGAGCACTTAGCAATCTCTCTGTGCCTTTTATGTGGATCTTCAAGTTAAACGGCTTTGCTGAATATATTTATAGGTACCACACCATGATATCAGAGTTAAAAATAACAATAATTGTGGCCCATGAGAAGGATGACATGCAAGGTAAGTAACTCCACAATAGTCTACAACAAATTAGGTGCTGGGGATAGGAGCAAGGTTTAGGAAGAATGCTAGATGGAATGTCAAAAGTCTGTTATGATTCACAGTGTGGCTTTGCATGAATAGCTTTTCCTCTCTGGTTCTTCATCCAGTTTTTTTTAAAAATGGAGGAAGATTCTAGAAAGCCCCGGCTGATTACCACTTCTTTCGGTATTCTCTGGCTAAAATCAAAACTGTCTCAACGTTGCTGTTGTTAGAACAAAACAAAACAAAAAAGCATGAGAAACAGTATGGAGAGGAGAAAAGGCACAGAATCTACAACCAGAAGGAGTGGAACTCAGTTATGACTCAATACTGCTAACTTCTCAGTTGTGCGGCCTCGGCCAGGCCACGAAGCCTCTTTGAGCCTCATCTGTAACATTGGAAGGGTGAGGTCTGCTCTATTTCCCCCACGAGGCTGTTCTGAAGGGAAAGCGAGATGACGCATGCGAAAGCAATTTATTCTAATAATACTGAAAAGGGCATCACAACATTTTCTAGTTTTAAGCAGTTAAGATAACCATTGGTTGGGTTCTCTCTTCGGCTTATGGGTAACACACGTTTGAGCTGGTGTTGACAGCAATGCACTATACCTAATCTCTTGCTCTTCTCTTGTTAGACCTGATCCGAATTTTAGATGTATGTTGGCAGAAGTGAGCCAGTCTTCCAAAGAGCTAAAATAGTAACAAGAGGGACATCCTTAGTAATAACACTTTTGGTAAACGGCTCTTTTCCTTGGTTGCCAATGCTGAAACCACTTACCCAACTTTCTGGAAGTGTCCTTCTAAGTTGTCCCAAACATATCTTATTTTCTGTATCTTTATGCATCTCACCTGCAAAAGAAAAAGGAGTGGGTGGGTGTTAAGTGGAGGTTCTGAGTCTATACAGCAACATAATGGTTACAGAAGCATTTGTGAGTCAAATAGAGCATAGATATACTGGCTTGAGGTTTTATCCAGGCCTATCTCATCCCTTTCTACTAAATAAATGGCTTTCTTTATTGGAAGTCATCATTTAATCAATATTTATCATAGATGTACAATAAAGGAAATATTATAAATAAAATTCAGTCCCTGTATTATACTACTTTACCATCTGAGAAGGAAAAGAAAGTATTCCCCCCGCCCCCAAAACGCAACATAGTACATAGTCAAGTCAACATGGTATGTGTCAAATAATGATTGTGCAATGCCAGCTTATTCTGCAGTTAACCAAAGGTCAGCAGTTCGAGCCCACACAGAGGATCTGTGGGAAAAAGATCTTGTGACCTGCTCTATACAAAGCAATAAAAATAAAACAAAAAAAACAAAGCCACTGTCATGAAGTCAATTCTGACTCATAGTGACCCTATAAAGTTTCTGAAGTTGCAACGTTTTATGGGAACAGACAGCCTGATCTTCCCCCACAAAGCAACTGGTGCATTTGAACTGCCAACCTTGCAGTTAGCAGTCCAATGCTCCTAGAAAGCCCTCTGGGGAAATTCTACCTTGCAACACAGGGCGGTTAAACATCAGAATGACTCGCCAGCACAGTCACAAAATGCTATAGGAAGGGCAGGTAGCAGAAGGCATCATGGAGGAGAGGAAACTAGTCCCGCATCCTTGAAGGGTCCATAGACTTTCGCTCAGCTAAAGGATTGAGGTCATCTCAAAAGAACATGTGACCGTAGGTGCCATAAGTAAAGCCAATTAGCGGTAAAAGGAGGAATGAGAAGAGGGTTCATTAAGATGGCATTATAAACAGTCTTAAGTGCTCACATAGACCATTGGGGACTTTATTCCATAGGTAGTAGACCTATCAAAGAGACACCTGAACTTTCTTACTCCACAATTCACGTCCTTTTCTGTATTAATTTAGCAAATAGGCTGGACTGAGTTTATAACTAGTACGTATTGAACTCTGTGGATCTTTCCACTGTGTCTTTAGTCTTTTTAATCATCCTGAGCAGATATTATTTTCATCTTCACTTTGTACCTGATGTTCATTAGATTAAGTAATTTGCCCAGGATCACACCTATTAAGAAATAAGGCTGGAATTTGAGCCCAAACCCATCTGGTCCCAAAGTCCACAGTGTCTCAAATGTTATCATTTTCAAGCTAGCCTTGGAAGAAGGTCTGAAAATTCCTTAATATCAAGGAATTAAGACATTGAATCAAGTGCAGGTTGCCTGCTTTATTCATTCTATAATTAAAAAAAAAAACCTGCGCTCAAAAATAAATTTTAAGGACAAACTGTAGAAGGAAGTGTGCCCACTTATCCAGTGAGAAAACTTTAGAGCAAGAGACCGGGAAACCACATCGATGGAGAACATCAAAAGGTGAAGGCAGCTTAAGAGGAGCAAAGAGGTTACTGATACGTTTCATCTCAGACCAGGACGTAGGAAGTCCATGATCTCCTGGGCAGAAGGTAAAGAATGGGTCCATCACAGACCTGTAGATATCTTTGAGGTGCCCAGAGAGAAGCATACACTAGTTAAAGTCTGTCTGCTTCCCTTATCACCTTCTCAGCCTCTGGAAGCTGACAAGAAAATACTAGAGGTGATATATATAAAAAGAAGATGATCATTGGGCCAGTTTCTTTGAACTTCACAGCAGGAAATAGTCCTTAGAAATCAGGAAACTGCTGTGGGGGGTTTTCTTTCTACTCAGAATCTGGAAGCTTCCTCCATCCCTTGCTTCCTTCTCTTGTAAGACATTGTTAAGAACATCCTGTTAAACGGGTTAAGCACTGGGTTTCAGCTTTGTAATTCTAGCAGATTGTCCTTAATGCCTATGTTTAATGTACACTTGCAAACCTGACACTCTTTACAGTCCTCTCCAACCCCCCTACCTCCCACCCCCAATAGCCAAAAACTGTTATTACCTTGGTGGTATTATTTACTGTATTGCCACCAGTGGCTGAGGCCGAGTCTCCCCCAGCCTTTCCTGAAAGGTTTGAGTCCTTTAGAGGAAGATAGCTCATTCCATTTCACAAATCACCATCATATCCATCCTCTCCTTTCAGCTTCACAATAGGCCTACGAAACTGAGGTGCTTAGTCTCTCTTCATAAATAAGAAATCCGGAGCTCAGACAGGCAGTAACCAGCAAGACTCTATTTCCTAAGCTAGGAAAGGAAGACATCAAGCCTGTCTACCGGCTCGCTTCATTTCAAGACCACATTCCTTTCCTCTCATCTTATTTGTTTATACCATTGTTTCTTCATTTATATGCTGGTCCACTTAGTTGTTTGATTCCATTGGACAAAGATCCAGTGGACTTTGATGGCAATAGGCAACTTTGGGATACTTGCTTTTCCAGGTAAATGATCAACAGAAAAATTAGGCAAGCTAATATTCTGAGTGATGGACCTGTTTTTGTTTGTTTATTTTGGCAATCGAGAAAACTGGGCACTAACAATTGACAATGGGGACAACTCAACACTTGTCTTTCAGTGGTTTAAAAAATTGTTTTGAGCTTATAAAATTAATTTGCTCTTGAGCCCATAAAAATTAAACAGCTGTCTACACATATATAAATATAAGAGAGAACATTCTACCTAAAATGTGTGTTTTTCATAGGTGAATATTAACTAATCACAGTTCAAGCATTATTAATTTAATACGGTAAGAAGGGAGTAACCCAAATATTAAGTTATGGAATTCAAATTATAGATTCGAAAGCAAGCTCATTTTGTGAACAGAAGCATATTCCTTGGCATATTTATTGCTAACAACTTTCATGGTAAGAGTAATTCTATTTCACAGATGTTTTTAAGGGCTCAGGTATTGCGCCTCTACTATGTGTCTGGAACTACATTCTTTAATTTATTTAATTTTATCAATTACTGTTAGAGTCAAGAAGCCTTGTCATTGTGTAGATGAGAAAACTGACACACAGTAGTGGTTATTGATCCAAGTTCTCACAGCTTACAAAGAGAAAGCTATGATTTGGGCTGAACTCTGACTCCTCAGTGTCAATTGAGAATGGTGCGGGGGAGGACATGAGTGTAACTCAGAGGTAGATCACTGACCAGTAAACCTTGTATGCATGAGTTTATAGTAAATAAGGTATGCACAGGCTTAACTGTGTTTACTTACTAATCTGTAATGCAATCTTTGATGTGGTGAAACTGAGGTGAAATTATTCACTACCAATTAGTAAGTAAGCACAGTTGGGCCTGAGTTTCCTTGATTATTGGGAAATCCAGTCCTAATTTAACTTTGTAAACTCAAACTCACTGCCCTGGAGTCAATTCTGACTCGTCGTGATCATGTAGGACTGAGTTTCTGAGATGTAACTCTCGTTTTTTTCTAAAGTAGTTTTATTGGTATGTAACTCACATAACGTGCAATTCAATCATTCAATCACATCAAGAAGAGTTATACAATCATCACCACAATTAGTTTTAGAACATTTCATCACTCTTGTACTCATCTTTATTAGCTCCCCATTTCTCCCGAGCCACCCCTGTCATACCCTCAAGGAACCATGAATCCAATTACTGTCTGTAGAGAGTTACCTATCCTGGATTTCCTATACAGAAAAAAAAATCAAACCCTTTTTTTTAACTAACAACAATGACAATTAAAACAGAAAAAAACCTCAATCAAAGAGAAAACAGAAAATCTTAAACACTAGAACAAATTTAAAATAGATCACAAGGGAAATCAAATGATAAGGTGCTAAATTTTAACTTAACTACATGGAAATTGGAGACTCAGAGCTTCTGGTGGCTTCAAATTCTGGTGGCCTTGCCATTAGCAGACCAAGGGGTAACCACGGCGCGACCAGGGCCCCTAATTACAGTGAAAGGGAAAAGACTAAATTGTTCTGTCATCATCAGGAACCATAACTTTGCTTACCTTTAAATCGGGCTTTTGTATGGCTCTGTTGATGACGTACTCCTCGTCTGTAATGAGAGGGTGGTCAGGAGTGAGACCCATAGTGCTGTGTAATGCTGACAGGTGGATCCACATTACCTTTTTCCGAGAATAAGTCTGGAATTCATCCTGAGGATAGACACCCAAAACCCCATGAGGTTAAAAGAAGGCATCGGGCTCAAGTGCAACCTGAAAGACATCATCTGAATAAAGTTATGTAAGTTTATGGAGTGCTTGGACATTCTAGACAGAATTATATGCCTTGGAGAGTTGGCACCTATGGAGTCTTGAAAGAAAACAGCTTGTCATCATTCACTGAAGAATCTGGGTATGAGGAGGAGACCCTGGTGCAGATAACAAAGCTCAAGAGAAGGGAAGACCCTTCTGAGATATGAGTCCTGTTTCCCCAAGACACTCCAGTCAGATGCAAAATTCCACAGTGGGGGCAGGGAAACACACACACACACACACACACACACACACACCCATCCTTCCAAGGGTTTCTGTGGGTTTCATCCAGATCTGCCAAGGCTAATTTAAATTCTACCTCTTCCTACAGCTCCTTTAATGCCTTCCAACCAGGAAAAGGGGGAAAGGTGGGACTGCAGGGGGTGGAACTAGGACTGCACACACCCAAACATTCCCCTTGTTTCTCTATTGTGCCTCTAATCACTTCCTGCCCTGCATGCTCTTAGTAGGAGCCATGCTTTACGCGCACATTCCTCGTGTCCCCCGTGCATGTGGAGCACCACGACGTTCTCAGCGGGAGTCTGAGGAGTGGATGAAAAAAGACTCCTCATACAGGACTGAACTTCCCAGGAGGCAATTGTCACATGGTAGCATCGTAAGTGAAAAGGCTTCCTTTCTGAGTTGACGGATAACTTCATCTCAGAACAGAATGGAGGGAGCAGACCGGATTAAGTAGTAGGTGCCATAATGGTCCCTTAGAAATTGATGTGATAATAGCAATCGTTACCATCTCAATGAGGACAGGCTCCAGGAGAAACCCACAAGGATGCCAGCAAAACCGCAGCAGCTAAGAAATACAGCAAGAGAAATTAAGCCTGGCAGGGAATTTGATGACTAGGGAATTAAAGTAGCTGAGAACTGGCTCCACTAGATTCACTTTTTCCCTGACGAGTGTTTGAGCTGAGTAGGCAGAGAGGAGATGTTGAATTCATTGTATCTCTTATAGTCTCCTCAAGAGAAACCCATGCCATGCCTGCAATGACTACTCATTTCTCTCTTCTCTTTACGGCCTCACCTGGCTACTTCCTAGGCATCCTTCAGTATCCCACTCAATGGCCACATCCTGTAACTCTCCCTACTATGCCTAGGGGACAATTTTTCTGCCCTAAAGAATCAGGAATACTGAAGAGTCTTACCACATTTGAACTTATTGCATTGCCCTTTGCCTGTCCACCTGATCATGCCTCTTGGCTTGTGGGTGGTGAACATGTCTGATTCTTATCTGTACTCCAGCCAGGCCTAACAGAGATTCTGAAAGACAGAAAGGGTGTAGGCCAGAGAGGGAGGAAGAGAAGGAGCAGAGTAAGGAAAGGAAGAGAAAGAAAGGGAAGGGAAAGGAAAATAAAGAGAGGGGGGGAAACTTAATAGAAATTTGAAAGTTAATGGATTAATTTTAAAACAGTGAAACTAGCTATTAACATCAAGGAGGGAAAAAAAATATGATGATATCCAATTAAAATTTGCATGAAGTTATTTTCAGAGTCCAAGATTGAGTTAAAATGGCTACATTTTTAACAGCTGAGCGACTGAAATGTTGAACATGCTCCATGCCTGGAGGAATCGGTAAGGGCTTTTCTAGGAGGTATTATGTCTCTCACTTACTCAAAGAGCTCTGCTGTCAAAATAAATCTGAGTTATTCATACCAACAGCAATAATAATAATAGTAATAATAACTAGCATTTATTGAACATAGTCTAGTCACATAGTGCTACCTATGCATTATTTCATTGAGTCTTCAAAAAAAGCAGTTAGTATTATAATCACCCCCATTTTATAGATAAGAAAAAGTAAGACACGGTTGGTAAATACTACAGCAAGGATTTGACCCCTGGTTGCCATAGCTCCATAGCTCCTCTTCTGCAAAATTTCAGTGACAAATCCAGTAAGAAACAAAAGCAAAACAGGACAAATAGTTTGTAGGTAGGTAATAGGAACACAAATTATAAAAGATCCACCAAGACAAGAGCCCTCTGGCCACCAAGTGAAGGCAATTAGGAAGATAGCTAATTGGCCCGTTGCTCCTCTTTCAGGAACTAAAATAATAATAATTACTCAGCTTCCTATAGTTAGTTAGCAGTTTAGAAATGCCTTTTGTATCAGCTACCCTATGTTTGCCTTCCAATTCTCAAAAGTAGCATGATCATCTCTATTTTTCCACGAGCAAACTCACCATCAGCACAGCAAAGAACTGTTCCAACAGTATGATTTGATTTTTAAAATTAAATAAATTTTACAAAGAGCAGAACTCGCACCAGGACCCAGGCCTCCCCACCCCAAATCTTGGTTCCTCTTTCTTTATTCCCACAAACCGCCCCATGGTGTCTGTCGCTTATTTGTGGAAATCGCCTTGGATATCGCACTGTATCATAAATAGCAACTACTTTCTCATGAGCTCTGCTCTTTCATCAGCAGGGACAATGAAGTCCGAAATCAAGCTGTCCCCCAGGGGACAAGAAACAGACATGTAGATTGTGATGCCTAATGTGGGGAAGAGCTCATGTGATTTCAGACGCCTTGCTAATCCCGTGCATCACGCAGACGTCTTAATCTGGATGGAACTCATATCTGTGCCTCACCTTTATTTCCATCTGTTTCACCACTTACTCAAACGTGCCTGGATCTGGGTGCCTCTCAGCTTATCCCTGGCATTCCCTTATCCCCAAGCCGTTGTTCTGTATGACACGAAGCAGGATTCTAGGGGCAAGATAGAGGATACTTCCATGAGAGAACCTTTTTCTTAGAGTAATGGAATGCCACTGACTTTTCTGTCCCTTGTTTGCCACCCTCTTACAGACTCTGCAAAAATCTCTCACATTTTGAAAGAAAGTCACCCAATTTTCTAAAGGGAAACAAACAAAAAAGTGGAGGTAAGATGTGGTCTCTTCAGGCAGCAGCTTCCAACTTCTCTCGGTTTGTAATTTGATTTGTCCAGTAACGAAAACAGCACAGGCTGGAGACCCGAGCTTAAATCCCAGCTCCAGGCCATCCTAGAAACCATTTCAGCTTTCAGTGCATAATTATATTTATCTGTCCAATGGGAATAATAATACCACAGGCTATGGATGTGTGAAGGGCTCATGCAATGACAGACTGCACCTGTTCCCAGGTCTGGCTCTCAGGGAAGTAATGAATGCTAGTTTATAGATAGCGCTGTGTCTTATTTCTCACAGTATGTAGTTCTTAAGGTCTTTCTGTAAATCAGAACTTATTGGCCTCTTGTGGAAACTTTAAAATCTTTGAGAGTCTCTATACTTATTTTCCTTTCTGGAAAAGGAGTATTTGTAACGAGAAATGGCTTCTTCCGCTTGAGTCTGTTTCCCAACTCCCTTCCAAGAAGTTAATGAGCTGTAAAATACTTAAAAGTACCAGAGGAGTTACCACTTTAAATAATTGGTTTGTAATGCAAATAATCCAAACTGTTTGCTTGGCAATTCTCTAGATTTTTTTATACCTAAAGATTCAGAGAAATTTTTATACCTCATAGATTTTTTTTTTTACCTCAACTTTCTAGAGCAGTCTTCAATCAGGAACATTAACAAAATCAGTCTGTGGATTCTGAAAGTGTAGGATTTTAAATAACCCAAGGGTATATTTCAAAGAGGTGAATGTACACAAAGGGCCCATGTTGGCCCTGGACAGAAAAGTAATGTGGATATTATTTATGCCCTGTGTAAGAGCTTCACTACAC